TTAAAGAAGAATCAATTAAGTTCAGTAAGCAAAAAGCAAAAGAACGCAAAGCAAAAACTGCTCAGTTAGAACAAAAATTAAAACAACTGAATAATGAAATTGCTGTAAACCCAACAAGAGCTGTAGCACAAAAAATTGAAGAAATAACAGAAAAATTAGAACAAGGATATAAATATGTAACCGAGGGAAGCTTTGTTAGGTCACGCAGTAACTGGTATGAACTTGGTGAAAAAAACAATAAATATTTTTTGCAGCTAGACAAATTTAATTGCAAACGATCTCAAATTATTAACACCAATGGGAATGTCATCAGTAGACCCACAGAGGTAAATCGTGAAATTAAAGCATTCTATGAGAATTTAAATTCAACAAAAGTGAAAGAAACTAACAGCAATGTGGAAAATCCAAATATTACTAAGTTGACAAGAGAGCAAAGCACTACCTGTGATGGACTTACTACACTGCAGGAGGCATACAGTGCTCTAAAATCACTTCCGTCAAGCAAAACACCAGGCAATGATGGCATACCAGCTACTTTTTTACAAATTGTTTTGGCCACTTGTACCCACGGTACCCACGTAGTGAACTCTATAAACTATGCTTTTGAGAAGGGCGAATTTTCAACATCTCAGAGGCAAGGGATAATAACTCTGTTAGAGAAAAAAGGCAAAGATAGAAGATTTATTAAAAACTGGAGACCAATATGTTTACTCAATATTGACTATAAAATTGGGACAAAAAGTCTTGCCAAGCGTATGAAAGGGTGTTACCATCTATTATTAACGAGAGCCTTTGTGAAAAATAGGAACATCGGAGACGTAGTGAGATTGATAGAATGTGTGATGAAATCCACAGACAAACTAAATTTGCCCGGCATTTTACTGACGATTGACTTTGAAAAGGCCTTTGACTCCTTGGAGTGGAATTTCTTATTCAGGGCACTGGAGGCATTTAACTTTGGGGTAAATTTTATAAACTGGATCAAAACACTCTATACAAACA